AGGAACTGCCGGATTGGAGCGTTCCTGCCTGAACCTCTCGTATACCAAGTGAGTATTGATTCCCTTAAAACTCGAGGATTGAGGTGCATTGTTGTCTGCCATTGCATCGTTGTCTGCCATCGCAATCAGAAATATCTCGGTGGTGGCCGAGAAGGATCTCAAAGGAGACGTCTCAGTGGTATGCTGAGAGGGGTCTCAATAGTAAGGAGCAGAGTACTGATAGTGGCAGGGCCACTCGATGGAATGAACATTTGTACTCAAGGGTTAAGTGTGGCTGTAGGACCAAATTAATGGTACTGCCCTCACTCATGTAATGCTCCTGATGGCAGCAGGACCAGTAAGAGCACGTCCAGTGCTCTGGTCAGTGTCGCTGTGGTGGCAAAACCCAAATTCAATGGTAACAGCCAGCTCACAAGTAATTCACTTACTTAATGGCAACGGCCAGCACACTAGTCCTAGCTAGTGGCGGTAATACCAACTTAATGGTATGGCCATACCTTCTCCTGTCAGGATAAGGAAGTAGTCAACGCTAGGCTGGGGTCTTGTGTGAGCCCAAGATAGCAGTTGTAATGCTCGCCTCCTTATATAGGTCCAAAGCCCTGAGGCCTGAAAGGACCCAATGAAGGGAAGGAGGCTAAGCAGATTTGAGGCAAGGAGGGCTGAATTGAATGGAGTCCGACCCTTGATGTAACAATTAAATGGTATTCAAATGCCTAGCGATTTGTGTTTCTGTAGTAGGCCGAATCCTCATCACAGACGCAGACATCTGAAGACCAGGCCCTTCGCTGGAAGGGGCCATGGAGAATTGTTGCACTAAAGCCTGGTGTCTCCTGCTGGCTTCCTTCCCAACAGCCGCAGACCGAGGTAGTTTGGCCTTGAGCTTCCCGATTGCAAATAAACTATATCCCAATGGTGAGCTGAGAGGGATCTCAACAGTAAGAGGACAAGGGCTGGATAGTGGTGATGGCTGCAATAGCCGGCGCACTCATGATCCAGATAGTGGCTGTGAACCAACCTAATGGAAATAGCCAGTACACGGAAGTCTAGTAGTGGTTGTAAGGCTAACTCAATGGCCACGGCCAGTCCACATGTGATCCACTCAGTGACAGCAAGACCAACTTAATGGTATCAGCCAACACACGTATAATCCACTTAATTGGTGGTAAGCCAAATTAATGGTTATGGCCAGCACAATTGGTTCCTTTAGAGGCGGCAAGACCATCTTAATAGCAAAAGGTTGTAGAAGGGAGGAGGTTTTTAGTCCAGATGCAGCTATGCTCTGTCGCTTTGTGCCTCGGAGAAATGTTTCTCTAAGGCCTGGAGCCTCCTGCTGGCCTCCTTTTCAGCCGCCCTAGAAGATTTCTTGACAGAAATAGCCTTGATCTTAAGTCTACCGGCCGCCTCCTGTTTGGAGAACTTGGACTTCCCCTTTTCGTGGAAGTGCAGAGAGGCATCCTCTGAAGTCTGAGATGCCAAGTTGTCTGCCATCGCAATCACACCCAGTGGTGTGCTGAGCGGGATCTCAATAGTAAGGAGCAGAGTACTGATAGTGGCAGGGCCACTCAATGTAAGAAACAATATACTCAAGGTTCCAACCCAAATTAATGGTACTGCCCTCACCCATGCAATGCTCCTGATGGCAGTAGGACCAGTAAGAGCACATCCAGTACTCTGGTCAATTCAACTGTGGTGGCAAGACCAACTGAATGGTAACAGCCTGTTCACAAATAGTTCACTTAGTGACATGTGTCTCACTTAGTGACGGCAAGACCAACTCAATGGTAACAGCCAAACTTACATGTTTCACTTAGTGACAGCAAGACCAACTCAATGGTAACAGCCAAACTTACATGTGTTTCACTTAGTGACGGCAAGACCAACTCAATGGTAACAGTCAAGTCATATGTAGTTCACTGAGTGACAGCAAAACTAACTCAATGGTAAGATCCAATGCACATGTGTTTCACTTAGTGACGGCAAGACCAATTCAATGGTAACAGACAGTTCACGTGTAGTTCACTTAGTGACGGCAAGACCAATTCAATGGTAACAGTCAGGTCGCATGTGCTTCACTTAGTGGCGGGTAACAGCCAGCACACATTCACCTTCAGAATGGTTGCGAGACCCTGCTTCCAAAGGTGGCTTTGCCTCTGCTGCCTCTGCTTGCAGGCCTGAACGCCCAGAGGCTGAATAGAAATTAACATATAGATTGAATTGAACCAAGGCGGCAGTTATACTGAATCTGTACTTGATGCAATAATTAGTCCCTCTTAGATGTAAATAGGCAATGGTATTGCTGTAGTTGTGTGAACAGAGATATTAATGCAAGGCCTGATTGCTGGTTGTGATGCGCGGCCTCCAAAAGAATGGCCGCCGCTCGGCCTCGTTGAGATCTAAGGTCTCAGTATATAGTGTAGCTGGATTTAAATTCCGTTGCTGCCTTTGCCTGGTAACCAGACACAAACATAGTTCTGGGAACAATGCTGGCTTTCGCCCCTGAATAAGCAATCAGACTTGAAAATGGAAAACAACTTAAATGCTGCCTGTTTCTGCAGCCCGCCCATGTGGCGCCCAAAATGGCGACGTTGCTGCCTTTGTCTGGTAACCAGACACAAACACAGTTCCGGGGACAATGCTGGCCTTCGCCCCTGAATAAGCAATCAGCTTTGAAAGGGAAAAACAATAACTTAAATGCTGCCTGTTTCTGCAGCACGCCCATGGGCGAAAATGAAAGTAGCTAGGGCTTCAACCTACGCCCGGAGAAAAGGCGGCCAGAATCAAGCACTCAAGCGACACGCTTTCAAACCGATTGACACAAGAAGGAAACCAAGCAAGGGGAGACAATCAAAGGGAAAACCAGCGAGCCTCCACGTGGCGTCTGCTGGCACACGTCGAAACAGCCATCCTACAAAGGCTATATACAAGGCTTCAATTGAAGCCTCAAATCCCCTGAAAACCCGGTGATTCAACCTGCACTGTGAAAGCACAGCGACTGGAGAAAAAATCCACAGTAGATGGGAAATAAACAACAGAGAAACAATACCTGATCTGTCTCTGCCTAAAGTCTGAGCCAATCTTACCACATCTCATTGGGCCGAAGACTAAGTCGAGACTGGATCCTTAGACCAGGGGAAGAGGCGTGGCAAAGGTTGATTGACTTAGTCTCTGGGCAGGAAGTCAAGGATCAACCCATCTGTAGTGGATTCTCCATCAATCATGCTGGAGAACAGATTTTTTCTGAATTTTCTATTGTCTGTATTTGTTGGGCAGTTAGGTCTTCTGTGATAATATTTAATTGTTCGATTTTTTCTGTTGTATTCTATATAGATAGGTTTTTAGTTATAGTCAAAGTTTGAGTTTGCATATTTAAGATGCTTTATGGTTTCCCCCCGAAAGCTCTTATTTCATCACCAGCTGTAAGAAGAGTTTGGTAAGTTTGGTAAGTTATTTTCAATATAGCAAAAATTTGTTTTCGCATTTCTTCCATAGAAAAGGTCTGTTCTTGCTCTTCCATAGTGATGAGTTGAATTGAAAACTTTTACAGTTTTTTCCCCCAGCAAATAAGAAACAGAGCTAAAAGTCTCACAGCTGGTGTTCAAGGTCACATGAATCTTATCTTGTTTTCTGAACTGTCAGCAAAGTCTCTTTTCTTTAAGAATAATAAATTGCAATTTCAGGTTTAGCCACAAGATGTCACCCCACTGTTTAAGGAATTCCTTTAAATCTCAAAGTTATTTTAATCCTTTTGGGTTTTTTCTTCTATTTTAAGAGGAAAAACCCAGACTTTCAAATAAAAATAGAAAGTAAAAAGTAGATATTCAAAAATCTTTTAATCCACAAGCTTTAGGAAATAAAGTTCCGATTGGGATCCAATTATTTTTTCAACATTTTCAAAACTCCCCTGTATATTTGATCACCGCTGTTTCTAGAGGGAGGGCTAAAATCCCCCTTCCCTCTCCACGGGGGGGGGGAAGTACTTTAGCAGCTTGAATAGGTACAAAAAAGCAATTAGGATTTAAGAGAGGTAGATCTCACCCAATCCTTTCCACACTGCTTTGAAGTTGCCAGATGTCTGCAGTCTAGGGACGAGCCATATTTCTATGGCCGGTCCTTTTGTCCGCCGATTTGGAGGGATCGCCAGCTCCAACGGGAGGGTTGCTGCTCTCCCGTGTTCCAGCAAGAGCCCCTCCTTGCTGGTTGCCTCTTTGGGGTGACTTTGGGCCCTTTTCAGGGCCCCCCGGTGATCTGAAACTGAACGGGGGAGAGAGAGCAAGTCTCCCAGCTGTCCATGGCGGCCGCACTGCACACCGGAAGCCTCAATTTCCAGCCTTTCTCTCATCCACCAAGGTCCAAGAAATCTACCATGCATATGGCTCTGTAATGCCTACATAAAAATTAAGTTAGTAACAGAATGTTTGTCAATTATGAACATTCAATCTTGCAGGATGCAAAAGAGTTAGAAGGTCTCTTCCTGTATTTCCTAGAAATACCCATAACATTGGAATGGCAATTGATACTGTAAAGTTTGATTGACTGAAATCAAAAGGAAGGCTGAGCATCTGCAACATATTTAAGGTGTGAGGTTCTGTCAATATGCACAACAGTCCAACTGCCCTTATCCAACTAGAAAAGGCAAGAACAATATTGCCTCACAGCTGATATCTTATAGCAATAGGTAGAAGGGACCTATACAGTATAGGAACAAAACCAAATAAAACTGGTTAATAAAATATTGAAAATATTGAAGAAAATCAGATAGCAGTGCCACAATCTTCACAATATTTCCACTGTGATTTATTATTTATTCTATGGCATACTCACACATATTTCAGTAAAAACGAATAGAGTTAAAATACAAAACATAGAATATAGAATCTGAAATCTTAATAGAAAGATTACAAATATCTAAATTGCAAATATAATTTTTTATTTCATTTGTCGCAGCCAGAAAATCAGCGAAATCTCCATTATAAGTTCTGTTTTGACACTCTGTCACTATATGTTGGATAGTTTTTCAGCCCCACAGTGTTGGGCTGAAAAGTCTGATAATATTCTCAAGGTGGGCATGAGCCAACAGGGCTCAATCTCACAAAAAAGTTGAATCTTGGAACATAGTAAAATAGTAGATTATGCACACACAGTTCTGTAGGTGCACCATGAAGACTGTGGTGAATATCCTTGGGCTAAATTAGGATTGTAGTTCTAATGTCGTTTCAAATCTATCTATAAAATAGGCTCTTGATTAGTTTTTCCAGGTTAAAGCGGCAGGAGCAGTCAATGAAGTACAAGTTCTTTTTTGATGTTTTGTTGCAGAGAAATGTGTCTATTACATAAGCATAACCTAGCATGCTTTTACTTACTTTCTTTTCCTTTCTCTTTGTTTTTAAGCTGCTGGAGCTTCTGCTCTCTGTGTTGTTTCTCCAATTCTTGCTCCTGCCGATGCTGTTCTAATTTTCTCTGGTGTTCCAATAGCTCCTGCTGATGTTTCATTGCTAAAATCTCCTGTTGCTGCTGTTAGGCCAATAAAAGAGGGGGAAGTTAAAAATGCACACAATCCTTGACCCATTCAATTCCTTAAAATGGTATCTTAATATTTATCAGAATAAAGCATTTTAAAGGAAGGAAATAATTACATTCTAAATAAGAAACCAAGGGAGAAACTGAAGATCTGTGTTTGTTGATATCACAACACAGATTCTGGCAAGCATACTGAACAGTATTTTCACAACATAATTCTGTATCATAAATTATTTAAAAAAAACCATCATTCAGTAATAAAAAAATTCCACAACTTCTACAAAATAGAAGTACAACTATAGTCTTCAATCGATTTATAGGTATCTATCTGGAAAGGAGGTATTGCTCTATATTTACGGATACCTTGTTAATGATGTCACTTTTATTAAAATGGGGTAAGCAGTGTTGTTTTTTTAATTGTATGTTTGTAACTTGCTGACCAACCACACTCAACATGTAATCCTTAATGGAACTGCATATACATTGAGGGAAGCATGCAGAGGGGTAACCAAAGGCTGTATCTTAGGACCAGTACTCTTCAGTATCTTCATCAATGATTTAAATGACTTGCCAAAAAAGCAAACATAGTCCTAGGCTACATTAACAAAGGGATAGAATCAAGATCACATAAAAAGTTAGTACCACTTTATAATGTCTTCATAAGACCGCACTTGGAATATTATATCCAGTTTTGGTCACCACAATATAAAAAAGATGTTGAGACTGTGGAAAGAGTACAGAGAAGAACAACAAAAATGATTAGGGGACTGGATGTTAAAACATATGAAGAACGGTTGCAGGAATTGGGTGTATCTAATTTAAAGAAAAAAAGGACCAGGGGTGACATAATAGTAGTGTTCTAATATCTAAGGGGCTGCAGAAAGAAGAGGGGGTCATCCTATTCTCTAAAGCGGAATGAGACAATTCGCCATGGACAACTGGCCACAGCCAACTCACCACAGGACTCACCGCAGAACAATTAAACAAATACAAAAGTTAAATTAATTTCAACGGAACCATGGCCAATAATAAAACAAAGAATCCAGAAATACAAAAGTTACACTAATTTCAATGAAAATATGGTCACAAATAACAAAAGTAACAGAATAAAACAATTAATACAGCATTAAATTGTCCCGTGGGTAAGTTGTCCCATGGCAAGTTGCGTTGTGGCAAATTGACCTTGGCGGGTTGTCCTAGACCCCCCCCCGAAGGCAGGACAAAAAGTAATGAATAGAAACTAATCAAGGAGAGAACCAATCTAGAACTAAGGAGAAATTTTCTGACAGAACAATTAATCAGTAGAATGACCTGCATCCAGAAATTGTGGAGATTTTTAAGAAGAGATTGGACAACTATTTGTCTGAAAGGTATACTAGAGGGTCGGACTAAAAGACCTCCAAGGTCTCTTTCAAACTCTGTCATTCTGTTAATTATTTTAAAAACAACCAAAATGAATGATGAATAAAATTATGAATAAAATGAAATTATGTACGAGCAGTTACTAGAATGGCTAAGCCTATCTGGATCTGGATCATTTAACTATTGGACAGCAGTGCCTACAAAATAGTGTAGTTCTTGCAGGTATCCAGGGAATCTTCTGAGGAGAGCATTCTGTCAAAATTTGATGTAAAGTTTGTGGCACATTCCCGCAGAGAAAATCTTTCTGCAGCTTTTTTGCCTGATGTAAAAAAAAAAACAACCCTAAAAGTTGTGCCAGAAAATGGAGGACTCTGACTCTTTGCAAACTTTATCTGTCCACTTAACTGCATGGATTTAAAGGCTAGACCAGTGATGGCGAATCTTTTAGAGACCGAGTGCCCAAAAACCGGCCCCGCCCCTGCTCCACCCCCTTCCCCGCCCCCACCCTGCCTGCCCGCAGGGCCACTCACCGCCTCCAGGGCCCGCCGCAGATCGCCCAGGCAGCCCAGCAGTGCCATGGCAGCCATGCCCTCTGCCCGCGCCCCGCAGCATCAACTGTGCACGACGGGGTATGAGGACAGAGTCTTGTCTACGCTGCCTGGCTGCCATGTCCTTGGCTGCGCTGCTCCGTGTGGGCCACGCTCGGGGCGACTCTCCTCCAGGGGGGCTGCTGGTGAGGAGGGGGTCACGGGGGGAGGCGAGGCTGGGGCAACGGCATGGGGGCCCACAGAGAGGGCTCTGAGTGCCGCCTCTGGCACCCGTGCCATAGGTTCGCCACCACTGGGCTAGACTGTAGACTGCCCACTACAGAAAGTCAATCAATCAGGTAAGGTTTTTAAAAAGGGATATTGATTGAATGGGAGAGAGAGAGTTTAGTTTTAGTACCTAATTGGGAAGGGTGAGGGAGATATAAAAGTTTGTCCCTCCCAGCTTTTTGTTTTTTTTTATAGAAGAAATGTGCTTGAGGCGGGAGGGAGGAGATTAAGCAAGGGAAAGGTTTTAGGAAGTTTGTCCAGAAGCTGCCTTAAGGGCCAGTTTACCATAGACACAGAAAGTTTGGTAAGTAGCTGCTATTTTAGGGGTGCTGAAAATGGCAACTGCTTCCAAGAGGCATGGGGAGCAGGCCTAAGCAGCACTACAGGGGATGGGTGGGAAGACAGGCAGGAAAGGACACTGCAGCACTCCTGTAGTCTGTCATAACTGTGAATGACTGCAAGAACATTTCTTCTGTCATAACTTGGAAACGAGTTTGTATGTAGTTTTGGGGTGTTGGTCATTGTTTTGAATAGTCATTAAACGGCCTGCCATTTCTTGAGGATAACCTGTATAGCACCCATGCAAACAACAGAGGAATCAGAGAAGCCTGGAAGCCTGGCACCTAAATAAAGGAGCCAACAGCAAACTACAGAACTAAATATGTTTTACCAACCAATCAGATGCAAGATCCAAACCATTCACAATAAACTGACAAGGCAGATCAATTAAAACTAACAATCCATCCACCAATCAATGGACACTTCCCTACAAGCAGTCAATCACCACATAGAATTCAAACCTGCACAGATTATGAATGCAGCAAGGTAACCCTCATTCTAGACTGTTGCACTGATGAAATGTCTATTTCTATTTGCAGGTCCAAAGACCTGCAAATAGAAATAGGACTACTGTGGCAAAATAAAGCAGAGGTAGTATTAATAGTAATGGGGGCAATCCCAAAGCAACTGGAGCACCATTTGCACACCATCGACATTGACAAATTTACCATCAGTCAACTGCAAAAGAAAGCTTTACTCAATACAACTCACATCCTGTGACAATACCTCTAGTACCATAAAACATCAACCTCTTCCTATCCCAGGTCCTTGGGAAGGGCTCAATAAGTAGATAAAAATGCTAAATCCAGTATGAACATGTGACTGACTGTACGATGAATCATAATAAAAGCATAAAGTTCAAGTTCTTTAATTGAAAAATTAGTCTTTTTGAAAGGTATTTTGGAACAAAAGATTCCCACAAAAATGTGAAACAGTGTATTAAAATTTTGAATTTTTTTTCTACATAAATATATTCTACATAAAATATATAATAAACTAGCAAATTACATTCATTTTAAAAGCATTAACCTTGCCACAAACATTAAGACAGGAGTGTCAAACTGCTGGTCTGCGGGCCGGATGCATCCCCAGGAAACCGCGCCCACCCCATTGCCAGCAAAGGAGAAAAAGCTCCAATACATCACGCGACGTCATGTAACATCGCGAGTTTGACATGTCTGCATTAAGGTGTAAATATTGCCATTTAAGAGCACAATTCAAGGAGTTAATTATTGCCTTTAAATCCCTACATGGCATGGGACCAAGTTATTTGCAATAGAAACTCTCTCTAAAGCCATTTGCCCATCCTACCAGATTGGATAGGGTGGGCCTGCTCTTTTAAAAGTTGCCATTTTATGGGACCTAGGAAGTGTGTCTTTTCTTTGGCAACCCCTGGCCTATGGAAGACCTTTCCCCCTTTTTGACAGCTCCCCTTTTAACCTTTCAAAAAACACCCAAGACTCCCCTTAGGTGCTGGGATAGGATGAATTTGATGAGATGAACTTGTGGACTGCATGGGAAAGTTTAGTTATAGTGTCAGGTTTTTTGGTTCTAGTAAGTGATTATTGGTGAAATTTCATATGGGATAAAAATTCCAAAGTAGTTAATATACTGTATTCATTACAAATAGAAAACTGATTGCTTAATGCTATGATAAGAACTCTAACCATCTATGCCAAGGGATTTTAAATTTAAATTAACTAGGTTAGTAGATCAAGGGAATGCTACAGATGTATATTTAGTCTGCATTAAGGCATTTGATAAGATAAACTATAACTTTCTTCTTGATGAACTAGAACGACATGGATTCAGTTGGCTGAACAATCTTTTTTCAATAAATGATTCTTAATGAGACTATGTCCACATGGAGAGTAGTATGTAAGGGGGTACTTCAGAATTTTAATCGGGCCCATGTCAACATATTTATAAATGATTTTTTGACTATACCTAGATATGTGGTAATGGAGGCGCCTTCTTATAAGGACTTGTTATATCAGAGTGGTAGTGGTAACTGGTGCCTGAAACCAATAGAAGTTTTGAAACAGAAAAATCCAGACTTTTCCTGGCTTGTGTATAGACAAATTCAAGAGAGATGGCGAACTGACAAAAAGACTATTTTTTCTATGGAAGAT